CCTTGGAGAGAACAATCATGGGAGAATAGAAGGGCTGTGTATGTACAGGGAGACAGCTCAGGGGGCAGGAGTGCATGGAGGGTGGACAGGAGGGAAACAGACATTTTGGGAAAGTATAAAGTACCCGCCTTGTGATTCCTCTTAGATTGCCACTCCTCTCGTGCCCGTGAGTTCCAGCTCCAAAAGAGCTTGACCACAGTAGCCAGGTAAAGGTGAATGCCCACAGACAAAACGTCTGTGACAAAAATGTGCTGCAGCCATCAAACCGTCCCCCATACATTTGGGGGAAGTGCCTATGGGTCCACCTTTTGGAGGAAATGCCTATGACTTTACCTGTCAGACAAATGGGAGTAGTTTCCACCAGCACAATACCGAGCTCCTGGTGTCCCCAGTACCCACAGCTTCAGGTTAAGGACGCTTAGTGAACCACTTCGGTCTGTCTTCCCATCTGACAGGGCTGGGAGCATCAGAAACATCAGGGCAAAACGTGGGCAGAGCGACTGCCCAGGTCCCAGGGTCCACGACTGCGAGGGGCTGGCTCCCGGTCATCAGGGGTTCTCAGCATCAGACTGAAAATGCCCACAACCCCAGAGCTGAGTTTTCACCTTTTCTCCCCAGGATCCCCCGGCCCACATCGTCTCTCAAGTCAGCCCAGTTCTCTCCCTGAGAGCTCACCTCGTCCACACTGCAAGCCCTCATTTCCACCCTCGTCAAGGGGGAGCCATCACCTAGAACGCCTCTCCGGCTCTGGGCCGGCCAGAGTGAGGGCTCCTCAAATTCCTTTTCTGCTTAAACCTCACTAGCCTGACTGCTCTCCAAAAGCCATCGCCTGGCCTCTGGCTCTTATCTCAAGTCTGGTAAACCAGTTTCCCGTCATTTATCAGCCTCAACTGCTGACCTTCACCTCTACTTCCCTAACTGGCATTTTAAGTTCCTCCAGCTAAAGAACATTACACTACCTGGCACAGGCGGAAGGGTCTCTGTGGGGTTAGAACGCGACTATGGGAGTGACGTGCATTTCCCAACACCGAAGTCATCATTCTGCCCTGAACTTCTAGAATACATGCTTGATAGACTTCTGGAATTTGGGTGCTTTTACCATAAAAAGTACGACCAGAGACAGAATGCTTTTCTCCTCAATGCCACACTGTAAGATCTGTGTAAACCAGGCATCGCCCATGAAGGCAGCCAGCCTCGGGGACAGGCGCATCTCCTTGCCATACCGGATCCCCAGGGAAGAGCGCCAAGCAGAGAGCACTCACCACCTGCTTGTGTCCGGACTTCTCCACTGAGACTCTAAATCTACTGATGAGGGGCACTGACCAACAAACGTTAGTGACTTCGTGCCCAAACCCGCGGCTAAGCAAAGCAACCAGTGGTTGAAGCACAGAGGGGTGCTGGGGCTCGGTGGCAGCGGCACAGTGGCCACCAGGGCAGGGGCTCTGACCGAAGGAGGAAAACAGCTCAGATGCAGTCTACTCACCACCATGTTGTACGCATCAGGAACTTCAGTTTCAAACTGAAATTTTCCACCCTGGTAGTAACCCTCATCTATCAAAAAACACAGAACAAAACAAAAAAATCCTTTAAATAAAAAAAAAGGAAACAAAAAGCAAACACTCTATTAGGATATGGTAAATACAGAGAATTACTCAGACTTTAAAAACAGAACCGAAGCAGTCTCTCGACACATCACCAACCACACAGACACCAGAGTGAGCCAGCCCCCGAGCCACTTAGGCAGAAACTGTGAGCTGCTTACTGTCTGTCTCCTCAGACGCTTCTGGAGGGCGGCTCCCTCATGCTATGGGCGCCCAGACTGGCCCCACCCCCCGTCACTTCCACACCTAGCACCCAGTGTGCACCCAACCCCAGGCTCCCGTGTCACCACCCTGCTTAAGGGACTCGCTGCCCTGGTCCTTGCTATCTCCCCAGCAGAACTTCAGGGGCTGGGGAGGCCCACTAGAGCTGACGGCTGGCTTCCTGTGCTGCTTCTACGTGACTTCCATTCTCTCAACAGACAGTTCTGTCCTAGGCCCTGAGGGTAAACAGTGAACCGGACAAAGCTGCCACCTCAGCCAACGTGTGGCCAACCCTGGGGGGTGGGGGCACGCCTGGCCAGCCTTCAGAAGAGAGCAAGGGTCCTTGGGAAATGGGGGCTGGAGGGCACGGGGAAGGGCAGCCAGGGTCTGAGAGCCTCTGCCATGTTGCCTCCTGGTCTGCCATGACTGAGGCTATGCCCTCTTGTAAAGTCAGCCTGCAGGGAACTAGGCTCTGCACGCAGGACGGGCTTGCTGGTGCCACCCTGGCAGAAGACATTGAACAGGCAGGTGCTCAAGCCTGGAGAGGCCTGAGATGAGTTCAATCCAAACATTCACCTTTAATGGAACTGCCATTGGTCCAGACCTGAGGCCTTTTAAGTATGTGGCATCTTAGGCATAATGTACTCAGAGTACACACACCTGAGTTATAGAGGTTCTGAGACCCCTGGCACAGTGCTAGGCAAGCTGTGCCCCGTTTCCAACCAGAGGAGTGTGAACTCACTGCCCCTACAGCGTCTGGACCCCTCGTGGCTCTGGGGCCTGTTCTTCGTGAATAACTGTCACCGTACACTAGATGTCACTGTCCACCCTGGCAGGCTAACCAGGCTGATGCAAGGTCTGTCCATTCCATCCTTCCAGACCACATTCTTCTGTTACTGACTGTTCATTTCATTGATTAGATAGTTCCAACTCTATTGCCTGTTAGTTTCAGAGATGGTATGTGGCCCAACGTTTTGATTTTGCCACACGTTTCCCGACCCAGTCAAGCTCTCCTCTAATGATGATCCGACTCATGTCTTCTCCTCGCCACTGAGGATCAAGGCGGGCGCGCTCTGATTTCCATTCCACGGACACGCCTCTTTCTGAAACTAACCTGGGCCAGCCAGGACCTCTTCCTCTCTTCTGCTGAGCTGTGGAGAATGGGAGGCAGCTCTGCTTGCTGTAACTTCCTCCAGGAGCAGCCACTGAAGAGTTCCTACTCAACCTCCTGGCCTGGCTCCCAAGCTTGCCTTCTCCAGCATGGGGTGTGGAGAGGGTCTGCCCAAGTCTGCAGCTGGTGGGCAGGGGGGCGCATCTACAGCATCTACGACCACAATATGTAGCATGGCACCCAACACTGTTTCCATGGCCAGGACAGGCCACCTCTGGGTTAATGCCCACAGTGGCTGCAGCTGAAAACATTCTGTCTCTATGTAACTGGATGTCACACACAGACAGAAGTGCAGGGAGACAGAGTTCCTGGTTTTGCGGCCCACTATCTGCCACCCTGTCCCCAGCCCGACCGTGCTCTGGAGCCTCCTCCTGCCTACCTTCGAGGAACCCAACACTAACGTCTTCACACAATGTTAATGGGTCTCATGGGAGACCAAAGACTGTTCAGGGGCAGGTGGGAACAGACAGCTTCCAGAGAACGCATTTCCAGATGTCCACTTCCACGTGGACTCCACGCGCAAGGGATCCACTGATGATGCTCATGTCAGGTGTCACAGTGGCTTTCCTTCCCATCTCCCCTCTCCCTCACTGCCCTCCCCCCCACTGTCCAAAGAAAAACACAGCTCTCATCTCTCCTGACTCTACTGCGGCACACTGCCCACCTATGATAGTTGGGGTTGTGTGTTAACTGAGCTGGACCACAATTCTGAGTGGTTTAAGCAGTTGTGATGTAGCTCCCATGATGAGATTGGATGTATGTTTTGAGCAGCCAATCTGTTGAAAAGGAATTTCCCTAGGTGTGTGGCCTGCTTCCAATAAATTTATGGACATCCTGGGAGTCAATGCAGGGACCCAGGTGAGGAGAGGGAATGCAGGCCACACCCCACAAGCAGCAGAGAGGGAAAGAGAGGACAGAAAAGGCAAAGGGGATCGGAACAGATCGAGGAATCAGCTGCAGGGACTCAGGTAAGGGTGGCTGGAGAGGTTTCCAACAGCTGAGGAAGACAAACTTGTCTGTTTGTCCTACTGTGGTGACGTGTTGCTGTGAGTCTTGAGGCTGCGCCACTGGTGTTTCAAACCCAGTGGGGTGCACACTGGGCACAGATATCAGCCCGGCTTGCAGACTGAGAGACAGACTAGGAAGAAGGAGGAGGCCATCCACTTCTCAAAGAATTGGCCAGGGAAAAC